TGGGCTTTTTTTGTTCTAGCACAGACTTCCTGAGTTGTTTTGTCCAGCTGATTTCATACGCGGGACATTATTGGCAAATGGCTGTATTACGTAATAAATAAAACTCCTCAAGAAATGCGATAAATATATTCGCGCATAGTATGCAATGTGTTTACGTACTTAAGTTCAGCGAATCTTATTTAATATTGAGTTTCACAACACGCCATAGTGGCAGCATAAGTATTAGTTAAAAGCTCAGACACGAATTTTGTTGATGTTCTGATACAAGTGCAAATATTCATATCAAGTTTCAGCTTGTGCCCGTAAAATTTAATGCAGACTAGTGAACTCCAAGTTAGTCAGTTATTTCCAGGGAAAGAAAAAACCAATAATTTCGAAATTGGAGCTCCTACCAGAAAGTACAGGGATAATTCTGGAGATTCAATGATGAAGAGAATCTTTTGCATCTCTGTTATGCAGCGGTAGAATATGGAAGGAACACATGTATGGACTTTTCGTTGGTATCTATCCTGCTAGTATGCCGTATCATGTAGTCTTTTGTACTATTGCCTGCCTGTTGATATTTTAACGAATATTATGCTTAGCCCACTGTGGCTGATAAACTTCGGCCAAAATATTCCGATCAACTTTCGGCCTGCGTCTACAAAGCTTCATTCAGCTTGACTTACTTCAAATTCGCGATTAATTTCTGAGGAATATAAAGGCTGGGTGCTCTAAAACTGTATGGAAAATATTTATAAGAGCGTGAAAGGGTTTATGTTGGCTAAAATATAGAAAAATACCTATTTAAGCATATCCTTTTTACTTAGCGCGCTTTTAAATTTCGTGGCGTCCTTCAACGCAATCCTGCAATCGAGGAGGGATCGCTGTACACCGGCCGAGTGACAGCCTGTGAAGCCAGCGTTGTCCCTCCCAGACTGATAACAGCCATAGGCTAAAGTACACGAATTCCATCATCCTGAAAGACGAATTCCACACATACTAAACCCAGAAGTTGTAGAAACTTCTCCGCATATAGAAATTGATTGAGGAAGTTTCCAAACAAAGGATAATTCCGCAAATTTTATAGGCTCCTGATCTCCTTATTCCAAATATCCGTGTCATTAACATAAGAGAGAACTGAGAATATTTAACTAACTATTGCGTTGGGGGTAGTCAAGGGGCTTTCTTAGAAAAAAAAGAGGTTAAAATTACAACATGTTAATCATTCAAATAGAGATATCCTTCCTCGTGTGAAAAGCGCACTCATACATGATTAAGACTTATCATTTGTAGATGAAGCTTTGACATTCTGGTATGTAACTCCTTTTTATGAGAAGATACCAGACGGATTAACTTTTCCGCTCACTAGCGCGGAGGAGACCAAATAGTAACGAACGGTATCATAGTCGAGCTCAAACACAAACTTTACGGTGACCAAATTCATTGCTTACAGGCTATTTTTTTACAAGGCGAAAACCAAATGCAAGTTAAACCTAACGACTTTTATTGTCCAACTTGTGATTTACAGTCTCACCTCATTGGATATTTTGGGCTTCTGAAATGGACATTATTTTATCGTTGGCTTCAGTATCTAAACAGACCGCCAGGCATTATAGGTCCAGTTTTTAAGTTTCAAGTGGAAAGCATTTGAGGACATAGCAATACCGAGGCCAAAACAAACCTGTGGTATTTTTGACATTCGAAATGGACAACCCGGTACAGCTTAATGTAAAAGGGCTTCAGACGAGCATACTTGGAATGTTGGCGGGAGGAAAGTAACGTGAACGAAAGGAATACGTTATTTACTGCCTGCCAGAAAAGTTAAAATTAGCCAGTTTCCCGACTGAATGAGAATTCGAACCTCAAAACCCAGTGGAATCGCGCATTCCTCCATTAGATGGTTCACTAAATGCATCTATGCACATTCCTGTGCTTCACATTAAAGGATATGCGCAATTTAACGTATATCATGGTAGCAAAATTGTTTCCAGCAAACCTAAGGCCAAGTAGCCTTGCGCATTTGCCACGACACATATGCTACCACAGTTCATGAGTGCACACCTGACTGATACTGCATCTGCGGAGGCATATGTAATCCAAATAACTAATATGCATTAAAGTGGATGCACCAGCAGAACTATTACTAAAAGATACAACAATTTAAGTCTCTTGCTTTAAGGACAACTCTGGAAATCGATACTATCTGAACATATGGGCCCCTCCTTGAGTTTACCACTAGCCAAAGACTTTGTGTGAAATCTGGGGTAGCAGTTGAATATGTAATCCTCTGTTTTTATTGCTATAAAACATCAAACTATTTGTTTTCGATTTGCATATTATATTGGGGTTACGGTTGGTGGTGAGCTAACGAAAATTATTACAATTCAGTTTAAGATTAGGGTTAAGAAAACGTTGAAGGATTGTGCTTATGGTCATGTTTGCTTGCTGCTTACCGCTTTCTTGAAGCAACCACCTTGAATTACGTGTTGGACGTCCAGTTACATGACCCTAAGTAGAACGTTTTGTATCGAGTGCTCCGTTCCGGCACTTCGTTGGAGTAATACAAGAAAAATATTACAGATCTGCAAGTATTCTCAGTTTCCTCGGTTGCATTCGTTAATTGCCGGGTCCGCCTGTCCTACTAATGAAATTAATAATAATCTCCTTCTCACATTACAATACCAAACTAATATTGAAGAAAACCAAGGTGGTATGCCAAAATTATATTTTACCCATATCCCACCCTCACCAAACCTGGAGGCAAAGGATTGAATTAACTGAATAATGCTTTACGCTCGTATCTAAGATGACACTCCTACGATAGAGCGCGACGAAGTTGAAGTCGAATTTGAGTTTGAGTTTTGGTTTAGGGGTTAGAATAACAATGATGTCAACAGCATTTATATCGTCAGTCGCTGTCCCCACAAGAGTCGTATTTAACAGTATATTATTTACACTTTGTTCGCCAATGTGACTGGTCATTGCATTGTTATTAGGTCGTCTAGAATGTATAAACAATTCCGTTTACAGCTCCTAATTTCCATTATTTCAAGTTGCACCTTCGCGTTTTTACGCTTTATGGGTGTAGTTAAAAGAGTTAAGAGCTAAATGTAGTTCAGAAGTAGAAGATGCGATAGTTGGATCACAATTTTTATTTGCCTAACTTTTCGGATTCTGGCCTGAACACACCATCAAAGATTACTGTAGAAAATAAGATAAAAGCACAGGTTACGCAGTATTTATAGTGCGTAGCGGCCACGCGACCACATACGCAATAAAATTAGCAGTTCTTGTGATCATGGCTTGGGGTCATGATTGATATGATAATGGTTTGGCATTCTGCGTCCGAGTTATTAATTGCCGCGATTTCACCATCTGTGTTGAACGGTAGTCTAATAATGACGTGACAATTAGGCTTGCTGTCATCGCGATTATTGTTTATGTTCCACACCCTTCCCCACCCGCGTCCGAGTCACTACGATTTCACCATCTGTGTTAGATGTTGGCATGACAACGACGCGACAATCGCGAGTGGTGACAATCGTGTGAGCCGTGAGTTGCGTGAAGCATGGTTTACGGGCCCTAGTCTACAAACAAGTTCAATGATCTGACCAATCCATAGTCGGTGCTGAGGGTTAGTTTGGCTAAAGCACCTCGCCACTCGGGGAACGCACAGCCGAACGCGTCTTCTAACGCCAGTGCCAGAGAACCAGATAGCCGAATAATCCTTACATCAAAGTCCAGCACGGGTGATGAGAGTTCAGCAGGTCACGACCCGAATGCCGGCCGTCAAGCCATTAACGCATAAGCGGGCAGCCATCCTCGATAGGGAGAGCCATTAAATGTCATAGGTATACAGTAGCATAGAAATTGCATCCTCTAGGTACTTCAACTCTCCCCTTGTATTAACTACCTGTTTCTGCTATTGCCTCTGATGACGGATCCGCTATGGAACTTGAAACTTCAGGTGAATTAGATTATTGTCCCGCCGATCACGTTTTCTCATTTACCTCCAGGGACTCATATTTTCACTCGTATTGTTAATTACGCGACAATTAGGCTCGCTGTCATCGAGATTATTGATAGCCCAAAGCGACTGATTCCCTGCTTAGGAAAAATTGTAGTACGGAATATGTAAAAGCAAGTCATGGTGCTTGTTGATGGACTACGGGATTGAGAACTATGACTCGAGCTGTTCGCGGTTTACAGGGTTGTCACCCATTGCGAGGATTTTGGTCTTGTTTAAAGTGAAAATATTGCTGGGTCCCGTCGAAAGAGTTGCAACGTGCAAGCTAGCGTCTTTTCCCCTCATCACTGCTGTGCGCTTGGCCAGTCGTGTCTGGAGTATTTTTTTGGTTTCTCCGAAGCAGTTTTGTCCACAACAGCACCAGATCTGGTAAACAAATCCAGCTGTTTCCTGCTATGGTCCTGGGTCTTTCGGCCTAGTGGCCCGACGCCTGATGGTTGCTTCCGGCCTGTGTGCAACTTCAATTTCAATTGGAGTGAAAAGGCGGCTGACTGCTTCCGATACATTCTTCACGTACGGAAGAACTTGCTAAATTTTAGGGCCAGTTGGCTTTTGTCTCTTGACTTGTTTGCATATACACTGGCTGAAAAGTTGCGCGGGTAGCCATTCGCTCTCAGTATCCATCGAACATATTTTAATTCAGCAACTTTGTCTTCCTTTGTACTGCAGTGCGCTGGTATAGCGCTCCTACGCAAGTGCGTTTGTGACTAACCGGGTATTTGATTTTGAAGTTGGATACTTACATAGTGTTGGTCACTTTCCCGAACTCTTTAGTTTTTAGCCTACCATAGTCTTTACGGCAAACGAGGACATCCAGAAAGGGCAGCTATTTATTTTCTTTCTCCGCCATTGTAAATTTAATGGCCGGAAAGACGGAATTCAGAGTTTATTTGAGTGTCAGCACCTGATTACGTTAGATTACGGTGGTGTCATCCACAAACTGAGCCCAGGGTTTCGGTTTCTGTTATGAGAAAACCAGCGACTCCAATCGTTACAAGACCGCCTCGGCTATGAGCCCGGAAAGTGGTGAGACAGAACTTGAGAGTTGGAGAACTTGAAGAACTTGAGAACTTGGAACTTGGAGAACTTGGAGAGCTTGAGAACTTGAAGAGTTGGAGGATTTGGGCGTGGGCGAGGTGATTCCCCCTTTCATCGTATTTGTTTCATAGGAGTACTTTGATGGTCTCGACTGCCAGGTCCTGTGGAATAGAAGTAAAAAGAGACGTGTCATCAAAAGATACCATGATGCCATTTAGCGAGAGGCTTACCCCTCTAAGTTCCTTCATGGATTGCGTTGATGACCTGAGTGTGGTGTCCGAATCAACGGTCAAAACATTGAGCAGTCGAAACAGCCCCTTCGTCAGTCCCTAATTTGGAGTTTCTTAGAAAAAATACGATTGGCTGGATAGAAACGCCTTCTTTGAACACTTTAAGGAGACCATGGAATCTGGCCAGGGCCGTTTCTTGCGCTCTCGCCATGTGTCGGCCGATCGATGATACTGTACCTGAGTTCTTCATTGTCAGCAGCGTCGTGTTGATCTTGCGTGTCAGCATTTTTGTGGGGTTCGATTCGCATAGGACATAGGACTGACGACCTCCAACACATTTTTAGTGTTTAGAGTGTAGTTTTTCCTATCTAATACGACAGTGGAGTACCCCTTGTCCACATGCACGATAACCAGGTCATCAGCTCTAACTTCCCTGAGTGTATTACACTCGACCTTGGAGAGAACGTCGCGTGGTCTATGAATCATGGCGAGGCATGACGTTTGGTGTTGTATAACTTTCTTCCGCTCTTCTGTTGCTTCCGCCTGGCTGAGGATTGACTCTCCTGTAGCCACAACTTTGGCAAGTTTGGCCTCAGCTGTTTTGAATGAGACCTCAGGCCTTAACACCTGCATTTTTTCCTCCGTTAGTTCTTTGAACGACAATTTGTGCACCACTTTGCTGTCGTTTGGGTCGGAAGATCCACGACGACGGTAGGAAACAGCTGGATTTGTTTACCGGATCTGAGGAATTTGTGGTGAAACCTAAAGACTACTCTGGATACGAATGGCCGTGCACACAGCAGAGATGAGGGGGGAAAACGCTAGCTAGCAGGTTGCAACTCATTCAACGGGATCCGGCACTATTTTTACATTTAACGAGGCCAAAATCCTCACAAGAGCTGACAAGTTCGTGAGCCGCAAACTGCTCGAGTCATGGTTCCGAGGCCCGGAGTCCATCAACAAGCACCATGACATGCCGTTTTCATATTCCTTACTGAAACTTCGCCTAAGCAGGGGAAGCAGTCACATGGGGGTGGAGGAAGGGCATGGACCATAAACAATCTCGATGACAGCGAGCCTAATTATCACGTCATTATTAGACTAACATTCAATACAGATGGTGAAACGACGGCAATTAACGACTTAGACACGGAATGCCAGACCATAATCGCATCAATCAAGAACCCGGGCGATGATTGGGTGTAATAATATTTTAGTACGCATGTGGTCGCATGGCCGCTACGCACCATAAATACTGCGTAACC